ACGCCGCGCGCGCGCCGGAGGAGCAGGTCCAGCAGCAGCCGCTGTCTCCGCGCGTTCTCCTCGCAGTGGCCCAGGCCGTCCAGCAGCTCCGCCAGCTCGGCCGCGCTGGCCGCCTCCTGCGTTTTGGAAAGTTCGGGGAGTTCCTCTTGAAGATTGTCTAAAATGATCGCTTCTCGTTCAACCTAATTCAACAAACAGAGAGAGAACTAAAATCAGCGCAATACAGCCTTAGCACGTCAGGGCTGGAGACGGGCCTTGGCAACCGCACGCTAGTTTCCAAAGGGCTCCTGACGCCCGCGCCCACTGCCACGGCCCCTCTGTCTCTGCGGCTGGGATGTTACCCCTCCACTACCAGGAGGCCACGGTTCCCAGCTACCGATCACGCGGGTGTGACACTAAAACGAAGTGCTGCTGTCGTAGGAGGAAGGAAACGCTGTTGCGTATTTTCATAAATAATTTCTCCGTCAGATTTCAGTTGCATAAAGCGGTCGTTTCTCCCGAGGTGCCCACAAGGTAGGCAGAATGCGCCCCACCAAACTACACCCACTGAGTGTGAGGTTGGGCAACTGCTGGATACTTTTTCTACGGTTCGCTTTTCTTTCACATCTGATCCCTCTATGCTCAAAAAGGTAAGTCCACTGTGTCCTCACTACCCTGACACCTCCACCAACAGGAAAGCAGCCCGGGTCACTGCACTAATCAAGTATTTTCTGACAGTGATATGCAGCGCCCAGAAGTACATTACCTAATCCATCACATGCACGGAAACGAGTTCTCTCAGCTCAACTCAGAAGGAAGACCTAGATAATCAGATCCCGCGCCTGCATCTCCTCAAACCCTCTGGCTCTCGCCTCAGCTGCGCCACCCATTGATCGCGCCTGCCCCAGCGCTGCCGACCCTCCTCTGTGTTCCAGCTGAGTCAGGCATTTTGTGATCTTGACGTCACCGAGCACCACAGCGGTCAACTACATTTATGATATCGCGCTAACTCAAATGAACAAGGACCTGGGGGGTGCCAGGGGGTAGGAAGTAAACCCATGAAAATTTAGGAATTCCAGCATCAATTAAGTTCCCAGGGGCCCGATGGTCTGGAGCATGCTGGAACCTCCATGAGGTAAAGATCAAGTTGTCCAGAGGCACCACGCTGGGTGAGTCTCTGTGGTTTGGGAGGAAGTATACGCTACACTTGGAAATATTGCTCAGATGCATTCATCAGGACGCTGCCAATGCTGAGGGAGGGGGTGGGTCTGGAGGAAAAGAGGCACTGCACCGGGGTTGGGCTGAGGTAGAAGCAGCCCTGCCACTTGGGCCATACAATCCAGTTGAGTCCCAATCGCTAGAATCCATGGTGCAGGTGTAGACTGGCTCCTCTCGAAGAGATCCAGTTACAGTACCTGTGCTTTCCAGCCCCTCAAGCCTAAATTCAGTTGTACCAGAAGTCCAGGCTCTCGCGCAGGCAGCTATATTTCCACCAGGAACAGAAATAAAGGTCCCACGGGGTCATTTTGCAGCCCCCTGCCAAAGAACCAGCATGCAAAGAAAGGAACTGCTCTACTGACAGAGGTAATTGTACATCTAGGGTTTCCAATATGCATCCGGGCTGAAAGAACTATGTCTATACACCGGGACTTAATGAAGCATCCACCTCGGTGCTTCTGTGCCTACTGATAACAGGCAACTGCAGCAACCAGGACCCAACACGAGTAAAGAATCTGAGGCTCTGACCCTTCCTGTTTCAGTTCTCCTGGTCTCCCACTCCTGTTCCCTAGGATCACTCTCCTGCCTGCAAGCCCCTGTCTTAGGTCCTGCAGATTAATGGTTGCCCCAGGCTGGACGTGATTGAAGGAGGTGTCTACAAAGGGGCACAAAGGAACTTTCTGGAGTGATGAAGATACTCTAAATATTGACTTTGTAGGTGGTCATACAACTATGCACTCGTCGAAATTCAACAAACTTCACACCAAAAAGGGTGACTACAGACCAGATCAGGAAAATAGTTGCCACAAAGATTATGCATCTAATCTTCTACCTACAAGAGGCTCTGCAGCCCCTGGATGATTTTCCTTGGACACATAAACCTAACAAAATTGGTTATAAAACTTTTAGGTTCACAGTCAATTATAAAGTAGAGTCTAGAAAGGGAGAAGAAACCATAGTTGCACGGTAAGTAAGCACACTGAAGGAGACTAAACAGCCTGTAACCAGCAGAAATAGGAACTGATACAGAAAGGCCTTTTGGACATTTGGTACAAGGGGAGAAAGACAGCTTTATACCTCTCGTTATCTTTAAAGATTTATATGGCTTTATTCTAGCACATGATGATTACTGAGGCAAAAAATGATACTTCTGAACAATCAGATGTTAGTAATTAAATCAAACAATTATCTTTCTATATCGATAGAGAGATAATGTAATAAAATAAAAAGAATGAAAGCTTAGGATTAGCCTTGGACCTGGGTTTGAATAAGAGCTGTCACTCAAGAAATATTTACTGCTTGGCCGGGCGTGGCTCAGTGGTTGAGCATTGACCTAGGATCCAGGTGATCGGGGTTCAATTCCCGGTCGGAGCACATGCCCGGGTTGTGGGCCCGATCAATGACTGATCATTGATGATTCTATCTCTCTCTCTCCCTCTCCTTTCCTCTCTCTGAAATCAATAAAGATATATTTTTAAAAAAAAGAAAAGAAATATTTACTAAGCTCACGAAGCACAGCGCCCTGGTTGGATTCTAAAGTTACAGCCTGCAGGAGCTTATAGCTCAATCACTAGCTGGGAGGTCTTGTGCCAGCTTAAATTTCTCAGTGCCTCAGTTTCCCCATCAATAAGATAGGAATAATTCCTGAAGTCAATGCAAGGCTTCAGCGACATGAATAAGAAAGAAGAATTTTCATTTAATGTTCTGATTTGTACGTCATTTATACCTGGTCCTTTGGAAAGATTAAAGAGTACCCTATGATAATTTTATACTATTTTATTTATTTATTTATTTATTTAAATATGTCTTTATTGATTTCAGAGAGAGGAAGAGGGAGAGAGAGTTGAAACATCAATGATAAGAGAGTCATTGATCAGCTGCCTCCTGCACACCCCCTGCTGGGGATCGAGCCTGAAACTTGGGCATGTGCCCTGACCAGGAATCGAACTACGATCTCCTGGACCACTAGGTTGATGCTCAACCGCTGAGCCACACCAGCCGGGCAATTTTATACTATTTTAAATTTTCTTTCTAGATATATGTGATATATAAGTCCTGAACCATAGTTAAACTGACATGTGTGATTGATACATACTATAGAGGCTTCTTTGAAATGGTTTTCAGAAAGAACACCAGACATTTTTAGGCCCATACTTTACTACAGTTAATTTCCTTAGTTAACAATTGTAGTTCATTTCCAAAGTAGTTGATTATTATGAATACTACCTAATTCTAACCTTTAGCGCCAGGTTGAGACAGTTATGTTCAAGAGGGCTTAATCTGTCTGCACGATAAAGATTTTAAAGCTCGAATGAACAGGTCACTTATTTCTAAGACTTATCTGATACCAAAAAATATTCCATTATAAAAAATTTTAAATAATTTCTTAGATATTATATCACATATGTGATATAAACAAATGACAGAGGTTGAGGAACTATTGTATATTTAAAAAAATGAAAGTAATAAAACAATTTAAAGACGCCTGTTAGGAAAACTGTACGGTTTGACTATTGGAAACGAAGCACTTACTCCTTCCCTGACAAATTTCCACTCCTGCTTCAGCTCGCCACACCATGACTCCCACTCTCTAGCGGCTTCCAGCAAGCTCAGCCATCTCTCCCACAGAGTCGACGCGGTTCTGAGCACACCTGTGTCACCCTTCTCTGCGAATGCGGGCCTCAGGTGTCTGAGGACCCGTCGCAGCTTCAGTAACTCTTCTTTGGTTGACAGGACATTTGACACCAAGGCCTTAGGAAAGAAAAGGGACAGGAGGAACATAATGTCTATTAATTTTTCTGAAAGTTATGAACTTTTGAAAAGTCTTGAACAACAAATGATTTTACGTCATCCACAAGTATTTCATGACCTATTTTTTAGTCCTTTTGAATGCCATTTTGAGACAGATGAGAATTACCTATGCATTATTGTATTGCACGTGAGTTTGAAACTATGGGGACAAATAATGACCCATAAACCAATTTTTCCAAGGATGTGCTTTCAAAGGTAAAAGTCATAGATACTCACTTTGTTATTATACTGTAAGTTTCACAGTTTACTAGGTAGTCAATTTGCACAGTCCTTACTCTATCAGCCACCAAGGCTTTAGTTCAGTTTTTTGTTTCTGTGTTTTGTTTTGGGGTGAGTGTTAAGCACAGATGATTCAGATTGTTCCCATCCAAATCCTAATAACATAATACCATAGAGTCCAACAGACGAAAATAAGCAAAAACTAGAATTGCTTAGGAATAGAGTTCAAGAAGTAACAAGAATTTAGCACTTATGATAGCTGCATTAAGTTCTATGTCATCGATCCAGCAAAGACCAACAAAATAATATAAAAGTTAAAGCTTTAGAAAGAGTGGTTAATAAGGACAGTACGTCACGAGGAAGAGGACTGTCCTGTGAACCCAACTATTAACTAAGTCTCGGAACCACTGCTTCATTTTCCCCCTAGGCCTGTAGTTGGAAGAATTTTCTTGAGTGTACAAGTCAGGTTGAAGATTTCTGTGGGTCACAACAGAGCCATGTTCCCTGCTGCCTCCACCAGTATTCTGCCATTTTTTGTACCCAGTCTTACTGGAGATTTGCAAATACTATTACCTTGCTCTGTTCCAAGCGCTGTAAAGCTTCCTTGTAAGACACTGGCAGTGGGGACATGGACTGCCCAAGAGCTGTTTCCATTTGGCTGAGGTTAGTGCCAATTTTCTCTTTAAGATTTCCATAGCATTTGTAATTCTTGAGACACCTAGTGAGTTAGAAAAGAAAAAGTGATATTAAATTTTATTTAGTGCAATAAAGTCTGAACTTCCCAGGATAAATTTGAACACTTAATAAAAAAACAATGTAATTCTCTTTCTGTTATTCAATGGATTTCAACAAATTTTCATTAACTACCTTCTCATGGGGACCTACATAAGACTTTTAATGAAAATTTTAACAGGCAGGTAAGACTGTTCTCAAACACCTAAACTGAGAAACTGCATTCTTCAGCACTGCCAATGAGGTGTAAATTGGTACAGCTCTTGTAGAAAACACCATTTAGTCATTAAAATGTTCATATCTTTTGATTATTAATTTGACATTTGCAATTTATCTTAAGGAATTAATCCTAATACAGTATAAGGAATTAATCCTAAAACTGATAAAACCTTTTGCACAGTAAAATCTTTCTACTTATTAGACTATTAATTAAAATGGCAAAATTGAAACACATCCTATGTGTAACAAAAGACAGCTGAGTAAATTACAACAATCTATTTTATAAAATATTATATAGAAATTCTAATTACTTTTATGGAGCTTTTGTTACAGTAAGAAAAAGAGCTCATGTTATAAAGTAAAAGGCATATTTTTTAATACAGTGTAATGTTGTGAAATATTAAAAAACACTATGAATAAAACTATGTATACAAAATAGATACAGCCTAAACCTCCCACTGAAAACAATTAAAAATTCAGTATCAAGTATTTTTTTAATTCTCAAAACACAATAATAAACTGGCAAGGAATTAAGAATTATTTAGAGGCTCCAAACTAAGTAAAAGTAGAAATATACAGAGATAAGCTAAGCTCCAGGGCCGTTTTCACTTCGAGGGCACTTGCTGCAGTTCAGTTTTATTGACCTTCTCCTGGAATGCTGGGGACAGAAGATAAAGCCTGGCGCTCACACCAGGATGGGCAGTTAAGCGGAGACCCCTTCTGTAAAGACACTTGTCACATACATGACCACAAAGGACCAACCTCCAAAGTACAGTATAAATCCTTACAAGTCAACAAGAAAAAGATGGACAACCCAATAAAAATTGGAGAAAGACTCGACCAGATATTTCTCAGAAGAGGAAATATAAATAACCAACAAATATTTTTTAAAAAGAGGCTCAAATTCATTAGCAATAATAGAGATGTGAACTAAAACCACAATAAAAATATCACTTCTCACCCATCCGAGTGGCAAAAATTAAATCCCACAGCATCAAGTGTTGGCAAGAATATGGGACAACTGTAACACTAATATGCTATTAGTCTGACTAAAACAAAGAAAACGAATAAAATCATATGGAATTAAAAATTTAAGGTGTGCAACCTGCAACCACAATCCTAATTATATATTCAAGGGAAGTTACTGCATTTAAAATTTTCCCTGCCTGGCCAGGCATGGCTCAGTGGCTGAGCACTGACCTGGGATCCAGGAGATCGCGGTTGGATTCCCGGTTGGGGCACATGCCCGGGTTGCAGGCTCGATCCCCAGTTGGGGGAGTGCAGGAGGCATCCGATCAATGACAACTCTCCCATCATTGACATTTCCCCCTCTCTCTCTCCTCCTCTCCATTCCTCTCTAAAATCCATACAGATATATTTTTTAAAAATTTTTTTCCTGGTAGCCCTGGCCGGTATGGCTCAGTTGGTTAGACAATCTGCCTGTGCACCGAAAGGTCACAGGTTCGATTCCCAGTCAAGGGCGTATGTGGGAGTCAAGCAATCCGTGTTTCACTCTCACACCGATGCTTCTCTCTCTCTCTTTCTCCCTCTCCCTTCCTCTCTCTCTTGAGTCAATAAATGAAATATGTTTCTGGTAGAAATATGTGTGAATCCAAAAGCTAGAAACAACCCAAATGTCTATCAATAGCTGTGTGACTGAATTTTACTACAGATAAGAACATGAATAAACTTCAGGATCATAATGATGAGTTTGAAGTCACAGAAGTCTATACGTACAGGAAAACGGAATGCAAACACATAGTAAAAATATTTTAAAGAGCAAGGAAATGATGAAATATTTAGGATAAAGATTATTTCTGTTACTTCTGAGAGGACAGGAAAGGAGCTCACAAAAGAATCCAAAAGTCACGGATACGAGGCTGTTAGTTTTATCACTATTCTATATACCATATGCAGACTTTTATAAACATTCTATTGTATGTACTTGATATTAAATAAATAACATAAATACAATAAAATACTTGTTATGGTTTTATTTAGTGTTTAACATTTCCATATTTTCTAAGTTATTTCCAATGTTTTCAGATTAATTGTAAGGAAACCTATATTTTATGTTCTTAACACACTACCTTTAGAAAGAAGTACCTACCTTTCTATTTCAGCTTCCTTTACTTTGACTGCCTCTCTCAGGGCTGAGCTCTTAGAAACTAATTCCTGCAAAGCACGCTGAAGTTCTAGTTTGGCTTCAGGGCTGGATATGGTCCCCAATTTCTCAGTGAGGTCCCGGATGTCTGCTAGTGTGGATTCCAGCTCCTCTTGTTTCCAGCGAGGCATCTCCAGTGATTCTCCCGGATTATCCAGATCTACTCTATGGGATGTGACGATGGCTTCGAGGGCGGCGATGATCCCCACTGCCCTGGTGACAGCTTCATTGTAGCGTGTCATATTTTCATAAGCATCATTCAGGACATTCTGGTGAAAAGGAGATTAAATGCTGTGACAAAACTGTCAAAACTTCTGGGATTTTTGTCATTCTTGAATTTTTGTGGTGTATTCATGATATACCCCTGGGTCTTATAAGAGTGAGCATCTCATACTTTAATTTGACTAGTATTTTTAAATGTTTCCATAAAGAAAAATTGTTTCCAATAATCTAAATTCAAAAGTAAATCTCATGGATCATGTCTAATGATATATGTTCCTGCTCTAGAACTCTGATGTTAGACATGAATTAAACAACGGAATATACTTAATCAATGCTTGTGAAATAAAGATAAAAAGAAAATAAACAAAACACCCCAGGCCTCTTGTGGTTTTAAATTAATGGTTATGCCACTAACTTTAGTTCTGAGCACATCACTTAATGTCTTCTCACTGAAATGACAAAGAGCTGCAATAAATAACTTTAAAGGTCAACTTTCAGTCCCCTTCTAATCACACGATTTTTGGGATTTATGTACATTGTTTCTGGAAACGGTATTAAAATCAAGTAGTGACGGGTAGAGAGAACAGATTTACAGTTGTCGGCGGGGGGGCTGAAATGAACAAAGCAGGGGTCAAAAGCTACACACTTCCAGTTATGAAAGAAGTCAGTCTTGGGGATATAATGTATAGCAAGGCAACTACAATTAATAATATTGTATTGCATATCTGAAGTTGCTAAGAGAGAAGATGCAAAAAATTCTCATCACAAGAAAAAAAATTTATAACTCAGTATGATGACAGACGTTAACTAGAATTACTGCGGTGATCATGTCACAATACGTACAAATACAGAATTAATATGTTGTAAACATGAAACTATTATATTATACATCAATTATACCTCAAAAAAATTAAGTAGAAAAGTACTCAATTTGCTCAGCATTTGTTAAGTACCAATTTAAAGGGCATATTAGGGCTTTTTTTACTTTTCCTGTAAAGGGTTGGACTAAATATGTGAGGCTTTGCAGGCCATCTCGACCGTTACCATTCTCAGTCCTCTGGTTGTAGCATACAGGCAACCACAGACAACGCATAAAGGAACGGGGCAGGGCTGTGTGCAAATAATACTCGATTTACAAAACCAGGCGCCATGGGAAGATTTGGCCCCTGGGCCTTAATCTGATGACCTGTGCTCTGAAATCATCAGACCGATCTCAGTTTGAATCCTGGTTCTGTTACTGTTTCAAGGCCTTGAGAAAATTGATGTTTCTGAACTTCAATTTCCTGATTTTAAAATGGGGCTAATAATAGCACCCACTTCACAGAGCTCCTGTGATGATTAAAGGTAAAATGTTCAGTACATTGTAAGTTTTAAGTAAATGTTGTTATTATTTTGTGCTCTCTTCTCCACACCACATTTCTCCCACTATGCCCTATTAGTTCTAGAACACAAACAAAAAGACTTTGTTCTGAGCAACAGAGGTAATTAGGGATATAGAAATAAAGGTGTCAGAATCATCTTATCCAAATGATAAGGCACTGCATTTAGACGCAGAATGAGTTGGGATTATTAACTGGCTCTTATCAATTTGTTTAAATGGCTATTTTCCTGTGGGGGATTTTCCTGTAAAATCTGTAACTTCTAGAGAAGTGCAGATATTAACTAGAGCAAAACATAAAATCATGAAATAAAAATAGATGCATTAACCACCCGATTTTTAAAAAAACTTACTGCGCGCACATCAATGCTTGCATTAAGCTGAAGGTGAAGCTCTTCAATGCCACGTAATTTCGTCTCCACATCACTAGCTTCAGAAGAGGTCTCCTCTTTTTGCTTCTCAATAACAGTTACGGCTTTAATGCTGCCCATTTCTGCCTGAACTTGCTCTTGAAGAGCTTCGCAATTATCCATTTCCTTTTGAATATGTTCGATTTTCAAATTTATAAGTAAAGGCTGCTGTAACTTAGATTTTACCTGGTCCAAAACACGTAAAGAATTTTCTAGTTTGTCCTGAAAACTCTTTTTATCCATTTGTTTTGGTTGGGATTCCAGTACTATATTTTGGAGAACCTTATGTAACTTTTCATTTTCTTCTGCGGACAGCTTGATTTGCAGCATTTCTTTCTCTTTGAAGGCGTCATCAAAGGCCTCATTTTCATTTAAATTCTTTATTATCTCATGATATAGGCACATGGCTTTCTCAACTCTCTGAGTCAAAATTTGAGCGTTGAGCAGATGGCTTTCCGGTGAAGTACTGGGAGGTTTTAGTATTGCTTCGGCCCTTTTCTTAATCCGCAAGTCCATCGCCCTCAGTTTATTCAGTAATGCTTGGTATTTGCCATACTCTGCCATAAATGTGTCCAACCGCTTGATTTTTTCTTCAAGTTCTTTTTCTTTTTCAGACGCTTGGGACTGGAACACGTCAAGCTGGCAGCAATCCCAGCTGAGCCCCAGAGAGCCGAGCACCTCTCTGAGCGCCAGCGCCTGTCGGATGGCAGACTGCGCACCTCGGAGGCGCTGGCGAAGGCCGCGGGCCCCCTCCCGCCCGGCCTGGCTCGCGTCCTGCCTTCCCGGCGGCTCACCCTGCTGGATGCTGTCCAGCTCCTTCTGAAGCGCCGACGTTCGTTCGCGGACTTCTCCGGAAAGTTTTATCTTGCGATCCACTTCATCACATTTATTCTGGATGAGTCTCTGTGCTCTGTTGGCTCTAGTCTTCAGGTTTTGCAACTGGTCATCCAGAAACAACCTTTCGAACACACTCAGCTCCTTGCAGGCGTCCGGGAGCTCCCGGAGCCGCGCCGAGACCGCGCGCTCGACGCCCTGCAGGTCCTCCCGGGAAGCGGCCAGCGCCGCGCGCTGCTGCTCCAGCTCGGCCACAGTGGAGGTGGCTTCCATCCCGGGAGCTGTCCACGTCTCCTTTGCTTGGAGTGAGAGCTGGGCCTTCCCTATTTCTGCAACAAACTGGCTTCTTTCTTCCAGCTTCAGTTCTAACAGCTGCGACCTCTGAGTTGATTTTAAAACTAGCATTTGGCACTGATCTTGTAAGTCCTGCAGGAGGTCACGCAGTTCCTCGCGCTCGCGGGCAGGCAGGTCAGGAGCGTTCTCTCGGAGCTCCTCCACCAGGGACCCCAGCGCCCGCTGCCCATCCAGAATGCCATCGTGATCCGCTTGGCATTTTCTGATCTGTGCGAGGATGTCGTCTGGGAGAAGGCAAACGGTGGGCACGAGGTCCCCCAACAGATTCTTCACCCATAAGGTGGCCTCTTTCACCCTGCTGCTTATTTCACACTTCCCGAGCTCCTGTTCCACCTCTCTGCTCAGTGGCTCCGAGGCTTCCAGTTGCTCCTGCAAATTATTTAGTGCATCTTCCAGAATCTTCTTTTCTCTTTCTCCCCAAATCCTCTTCATCTGAAGTTCCGCTTGCCCCTTTACAACAGAAAACCTGTGCTTGACGGCCTGCAGCTCCGCGGCCAAGGCCACCAGGCTCTGGGTCCCGTCCTGTGCCTCCGGAGAGCCCAGCCTTAGCCGGAGACGCTGCTGCTGCTGCTGCAGAGAAAGGGCCAGGCCTTGGATCTGACTCATGAGAAAAGTAAACTCCTCGTGTTCCATCGCGTGCTGGGAATACTTTCTTCGAACCAGTTGTTCTACGTGTTCCCACCTCTGTTCAAGCTGCCTGACCTGGCTTTCCAACAGCTTCTTATCCATGTCAGTCAGATAGTTTGATAAATTTTCCCACTCGATTTTCATCTTGCTTAGAGAATCTTTCTCTTTTTCTATTGATGCCAGCAACTTCTGAATTTTGGCCACGTAGGTTGCACTGTCCAGTGGTCCCCTAAAATAAGAAGAAAAATGGAGCTTGTTAGTATTTATTATGTATCAACCCAAAGCTAGAGGTCATCAAAAGAAATTAATTGTTATGAATTCACAGAAGACAAGATTAGATTGTCAATAAGAGCACTCTGTCCTTAAAAATAAAATCAGAATTTTTTTTGCTATGGTTTTTAATTAGTTTCTGATCATGTTGAGGGCTCATTTATAAAATGAGTATCATAAATATTCAGAACCACAGGAAAAGAGAAAAGAGTGACTGGAACAATGCATATAAAGGTACTCTGTAACCTGTAAAGTACTCGCACAGAGTACTTTTTAATAATGAAAAATTGTTCACACATTATAACTATATCTAGAACCACTTACCATCCTTTTCAAAGCCAAAAGGAGTGCATCTATTTGAAAAGAAGCCAGTACAATGCATCTATATTAAGTATGTTCCAAACAATTTAAACCAATTATGCAGATACTAAACAGTTATATACACACATGTTTTCACCCCACCAGTTTAGAATAAATTCTTAACAAAAAGAATACTGAATAGCACAGACCTTTAACATATTTTGCAGGTATTTAACAGTGTGAATTAGATATTTAACAAATTAACTTGTAAAATTAACATAATTTAATTATAAAATTAATATAACTACTATAAATTTTTTTGGGTATAAAACCAACAGAGTTTTCTTCAATGGCTTTCATATGGAATTAATTTCCATTCTGTAGTATTAAAATCATAATCTCCCTCACAGTATAAACTCTTAAAACCCTGGGCCTATTCAAGGTGACAGAGCTGAGCTTGAATACAATGAATCCAAGTCCTAAATTCTTACACTTACACTTTTAGACTTTCCTTCTCTGTCAGCAAGGCTTTCAGCGAGGATTCGACTGCAGAGAGGTGCTCCTGAAAATCACTAAGGAGACCATAGTGGTGTTCCTTATCTTTCTTCAGAGTAGTAAGTGCCTGAAGCAGGCTGTCCAAGTGCTGCACTGAATTCCTTGGGCTGTGGGGAGGCAAGGCACTTGTTTCTGTTCTGTTGGGGTCTTCAGTTTGTTCCAGTGGTTCCATGGCTGCTTTTCTGGCTTCCAACTGGGTATGTAATTCCTAAAAACAAGTCAAGGAAATCAGTAAGCATACACTTACTCATTCGCTCATTCATTCATTTTCTTTCCCATACTCTTTCCCTCCAATAACGCACTCTATCCCAACAAGATGTTTTAAAGGTTTCATTTGCACACAGAGCAAATTAAGTTCTGACGTTTAACATATTTTTTTCACTTGAATTATGTTAAAATCTAGACTCAAACTCACCACTGGTCTAGCATTTAATAGCAATTAGATCACCTTATTGTGTTAAATGGTTCTGCAATGTAGAAAGGAAGATATATCTTATTTTTATTACTTACATACATTACCCCCTTCCCTGTCTTAGATGCACATTAACTATTATATAAGCTTAGTTAAAATGGTAGGGGTCGTTTTTAAAAACATGGCCATGTATTGTTCTATTATATTATTTTACATAGCTATTAGTACATAAATACATAAACACAGCTATGTAAACAGAGCTGTAAAAACAAAGAAACAGTACCCCATAATGTTGATAATTAGGAAAATAAAAGGATTTGTCAGAATCAGAAGAATACATATGACTAAGAAAAGAAATGATGACAAGTCAGAATCTCTAAATTTTGTTTCTGAGTAAGTTTTTAGGAACTTTATGAAAAACAGAAAGAACACTAATGTTCATTAAACTCTTCCACTTTTTAAATGGAAAGATTTATACAACTTACTGATTAGTACATAATTATATAGTTACCAGACTGATCATCAGGCAAAGGTTAAATAAGACTTTTCACTCTGTGCAAGCAAGTTTTTGGTAATTACAATATATTGTATTGCACTGGATAAATAATGCAATCATGTTCTCAGTGTTTTTCTTGTTTCCGTACCTCTATCTCTTTTAATTGTTCATTTCTTAACATAACATCTAATTCTAAAGGTTGATTTTGCAGCTCATTGACTCTCTGCTCATCTTCAGTGTTTTTCATGCTTTCTTGAACATCAAGAGAAAGTTGTTTTGACAAAAGCACTTCCACAGCTGAATTCTGAAAACATAAAAAGATTAATTGCTGAGTAGTCTACCTTCCAAATAAATAACTTTTATTTTTCTTGATGAAAGCACTGCAGTTTCTTCTGTTAACTCAAAGACTTTTTAAAAAAGTATATTTGAAAAATTATCCAAAGATAATTTTTCCATGCAATATTTAATGTCGATATTGATATTCCAAGAAAAATTAAACGTTTTTGGCAAGATGGTAAAGGATCTAGCAATGCTCAATCATATATAGAGGTATAATCTATACAGTCACTGCTCAATTATAGAAGAGGTATAACCTGTACAGTCAAAGAAAGAAAACAGATATAGAAAAAAGAAAAGTTCCAAAGTTTATATGCAGTATTCAAAATGATACAGAGGGCAGGGCAAATAATAGGTATTCAATGTTACCTATTGGTAGTTTAATATAATAAATGGACAGCCCTGGCTGGTTTGGCTCAGTGGTTAGAGTGTCAGCCTGTGGACTGAAGGGTCCTGAGTTCGATTCCGGCCAAGGGCAGGTACCTTGGTTTCAGGCTCGATCCCCAGCCCTGGTAGGGGGACGTGCAGGAGGCAACCAATCGATGTGTCTCTCTCACATCGATGTTTCTCTCTCTCTCCCTCCCCCCCTTCCAGTCTCTCTGAAAACTAATAGAAAAAATATCCTCAGGTGAGGATTAAAAAAATAATAAAAGTAAAATAATAAGTAGGTAAACAGAGGAACCAAGATTTCATGATATTAAGAATGAATTAATTAAGCCTTATATCAATTAATAGTAAGAATTTCAACCCGAGTAAGGCAGAACAGGTTATATATGGAATAATTTAATCTTTTCTGAAAGCTCTAAGAACTTGAGATTCTCAGTAGGATAGAGACAGCATCTGCATTCATTTATTCGTTCTTTCAACAAATATTTGTTGAGCACTTCCATGTACTAGGTGCTATACGACAGTAATTTTAAAGATTTCCGTAACTTTGCTAAGGTATTAGTTTTTATTTTCAGGGTTACTTTATAAATGAAATATCACTTAATTCTGCTACATGCTTTCATGTCAGTAAAATCTTTGAGGCAGCAAGTCTATAAATAAAATGTGTCCATATCCCCAAACAAAGCTGAATTTCTTGTTTTAAAAATACTGCCTAGCCCGGCCGGGCGTGGCTCAGCGGTTGAGCGTCGACCTAGGATCCAGGCGATCGGGGTTCGATTCGTGGTCAGGGCACATGCCCGGGTTGCGGGCTCGATCAATGACTCTCTCATCAATGATGTTTCTCTCTCTCTCTCTCCCTCTCCTTTCCTCTCTCTGAAATCAATAAAGATATATTAAAAAAAAAAAAAATACTGCCCAGATAGTAAAGGTGTCAACAATAGGGGCTGGGGTAAGAGATACACGGGAACTTTCTGTACTGTCTTTGCAACTTTTCTGTCAATGTAAAACTATTCTAAAATGAAAAGTTTATTTAAATAAAACAGATACCTCCTGGAGCTTCACCAATACTAACTGGTAAAAAAAAAAAAAAAATTAGCTGACTAGTGTTACTTGTGTTAAAGTACTTAGTTGGCACTTAGCACAAGTCACTTCTTCACAAACTATAGAAATGATCCCTGAAAGTATAGTCGTCACAAGTCACTTCTTCAAAAAGGCGTCAAATGGCCAGGCCGGGTGTGGCTCAGCAGGTGAGCATCGACCTGGGATCCAGGAGATGGAGGTTCGATTCTTGGTCAGGGCACACGCCCGGGTTGCGGGCTCCATCCCCAGCAGGAGATGCTGGGGGCGTGCAGGAGGCCGCCGATCAGTGACTCTCTCTCATCACAGACATTTCTATCTCTCTCTCTCCCTCTCCCTTCATCTCTCTGAAATCAATAAAGACATATCGGGGTGGGGAGGCTTCAAATGACTGAGATGATTTTGGAAATTTCCTTCAGTTCAACAATCATTGTGGCCCGGCCGGGCGTGGCTCAGCGGTTGAGCGTCGACCTGGGATCCAGGAGATCGAGGTTCGATTCCCGGCCAGGGCACATGCCCGGGTTGCGGGCTTGATCCCCAATGACTCTCTCATCATTGGTGTTTCTATCTCTCTCCCTCTGCTGCCCTCTCTGAAATCAATAAAGATATATAAAAAAACAACACAAAAACCCCACAATCATTGTGGCTGAAACCTGTATGGAGGGGATCACCTCAGGCGGAAGGAGAGGTGCCGCACTACAGGCTTCACTGGCCGGGGGGTCTCTGCCACAGGCCCCAGTAGGCGAGGTGAACGCCTGCCTCTCCCCCCTGGCGGGTCCTATCACTTGGAATCCCCCATGTGAGCAAGGGCTAAAGGTCCTGGCCCTCAGAAAACTTGGCTTAATACTAATTACCTACTAAGAATTCACAGCGCTTGGTCTCTCTTACCTGACGGACGAGTGATGAGTACTAGTAACATCTGAGCCACAGCATTTGTGATCTGACCTCAGTGGTTGGAGGGAGCATTCCGAGAAACCCAACATCACCCCCAAACACCAGTTGTTCACAAACCCCCACAGCCATGTTTCCACCTTGGCAGAAAACCCAACAGAATCCCTCAAACGACCATTTCAAATTTAAAAGGCAACATTCCTGTGCTCACGCCAGAGGGGTTGGAACACGGGGGCAGGAGCGTGATTGGCTCCTGGGAAGATTCTTTCACAACACTTACGCTTTGCTCATCGCCTGTGGCTGTATTTTATTTTGATTTTGCGGGCTTACTTAAAATAATTTATTTTAAATTATACGCTATTTCAAACATACTTAAAAGAATGAAATATAACTGATACTCATTACCCACAACACAAATATGTGATATAATTTTCCATATTAAAAATATAATTTAAAGCCCAATCCGCATCCCTTGTTATCTCTTCTCCACAGAACTAACCATTAAAGTCGACATAAACATGTTTTATACTTTCAATACATGTATTAGTATTTTTACGGTATTATTTTATGTATTTTAATTCTTATAAAATTGGAATCATGTATGTATCATTTCCCCACTCAGCAGTATGTTCTGAGGTTTATCTAAGTTGACATATACAAACCTAGTACAGTCATTTTGCTTTGTGGACTGTTCTGCTGTTTGCATGAACGTGACTTGTTTATTGGTCAGCCTACTGTGAACATTTTCCCAATATTTCCTATTATAGATACTGCTATAATAAACACTCTTGTGGAATTTTCTTGTACAAATGAGTTTTTTTAGGATATTTTCCTTGAACTAGTCACAGAATATGCCCTTTTGATTATCAATACATAGTTATTGGTTTTTCTCCAAACTGAACTACAGTTTTTATTCCCACACTAATTCTAAAAGAATTTGTATTATCCCCAATCCTCTCCAATATTTGGTGCTAATAGACTTTAATTTCTGCCAATATAATGGATGTGAAATTGATATCATTATTGTTTTAAAGTTATTTCCCTGACTGCTAATAAGACTGAGCTATTCATCATAAAGTGTACACACTGATCCTCTGAACATAAACGGAATTTTCAAAGTTAATAATAAATGTAGAGTGGAAAATTACCATTTTATCAAAAGCCTGGCTGAGTTATACTGCCAACTATGTTTATTTTTTTTTTTTTTAATTTTTTTATCCAAGTATCTTTCCTTAGAGTGTGGCCTGTTTGAAAAAGAGCAGGAGGTGAGAGAAAGAATATCATCAACTCTCCTTATGGACAAGACCATGACATTTTCATCTTTATGTCCATTAATTCACAAAGGAAACACCTTACTTTAACATTTAAAATACTGAGCTTTAAACAAGTGAACGCTGTCTCTGGCTTAGCAAATGTATCGGCATAGCTTCACCTACCCCTTTTCCCATTGGGTGCAATGGGCCCATGGCTATAATAAATCTGTGACAGTGATAAGCCCAAATCTATCACTTGTAACCTGCCAACCAACAGTGGGACAGTGTCGTACAAGCTCTACAAGATATATTTCTTTCTTCTCTAAAGCATTTCAATATGAAGTAGTGAAAATCAATTCTAAGATTACACATACATCATCACCATTAGAGATAAAACAGAAAGGCAGATCAACATAGTCTCAGAGGCTGCCTCTTTATCTTAGCGTAATGTCTAAAACGTTAACGTGACCTGCAAGGCACTTGTGACTCAGCCAGCCTCGCCTACCTCCCAGGCCTCACGTAGCCCTCTACCCTCTACGCAGTGGCCGCCTTTCAGTTTCTGACCGCTCATGCTCTCTCCCGCTACAACAGCAAAGTCTACGTTTTCCGTCAAGAATGCCCCAACATCCAGCCCTGAGCTCGGTTAACTCCAATCTCAGTTCAAATGTTGCTTCCTTAGAGAAGTGCTCTCTGACTGGAGTTCAGGTCAGAGTCCTTTATTAGAGACAATCACAGAACTGTGCTCCTTCCTTTAGCTCCTATAGATAGTCTCTCATTAGTTAATTAACTGTATGTCTCCTCCTCTAAACTAGAAGTTCTATGAGAATAGAAATCATGTCTATTTTTGCTCACCACTGAAGTCTCACTGACTGTTCAATAAATTTTTACTTAATGGATGTATAGATGAACTCATATTAATGAAAAAATAAGAGGCCAGGCTGGTGTGGCTCAGTGGTTGAGCATCGACCCATGAACCAGGAGATCAAGGTTCAATTCCCAGTCAGGGCACATGCCTGGGTTGCAGGTTCAATCCTCAGTAGGGGGCGTGCAGGAGGCAGCTGATCAATTATTCTCTCTCATCATTGATATTTCTCTCTCTCCCTCTCCCTTCCTCTCTCTGAAATCAATAAAAATATATTTTAAAAAAGAGAGAATTTCATTTAGTCTTTGACTGTCAAGATTAACAGTCTGTGGGCTACAAAGAAGAGTGGAAAGAAATTGAGGATCTGTCAATCTATCTATTGTTGACCAGAATTCTGCTAGGAATGCTAAGAACAGGGTTTGGTTGGGTTTAATGAGAAAAGAAGAGTTTTCAAACACCCTCAAAAAATCAATAAAAAGTCCACTGAGGTCAGATGGC